CTGTTACTGCTATTAATATCAATATACTCTAATGCAGGGGATTGCTGGCTAGTAAAATGTATACAACTGCAAAAACAATTGTCTATAATCTAATTTCTCTAATAGATGCCTATGGTTATGTGCTTAATGGTGCAAGAGCTTATTACACTAATAGGAGGTAATTTTCTTTTTCATTTTGAGTTCTAGTATTTTATTTTTGATTGTTCAGGAAGGTGATGGCATGCGTCTCTATTGCTTTAATATTTCTGATAAGTGCTCCTTTAGTAGTTTTTCTTTTTCCCTCTCCGTTACTGGTTAGTTTATTTGACACAAGTGCCTTTACGTTATCCCTTAGCAATAGAATATGTGTTATTCTCTTATTTGAAGTTTAGTGCATCTGAATGTTTCGAGTTTAAATGCCTTGCATAAGACATGGTGCAGCTTAATTATAAATTTCAAAATCTTCTGTCTATTTATAGGTCAAGTGTTCAAAATTAGATTGCTCTTCTTGGCTTGATGATTAATAAGCTGAATATTACCAACTTACTTTCATTGAGGCCAACATAAATTTCTGCCATCTGTTCAAATGCCTAAATTTCTAATGCATATGGTATTTTTTTTTTTTTTCAGTATCAACCGTCATTCTAAATTAAGATCTAAATGCATTAACTTCTCCTTCTTGATTACTTATACTAGTCCAATTAGGCTGTAAACTTGGGTATACTTTTGCAGCCAGCCTCCTCTCCTGAGTTCAATGATATGTGACATATTCAATCAGACTGGTGATATGGAATTGGTCAGAAAATGTCTCCCCTCACTTCTCAGAGAATATCAATTTTGGAATTCTGGTACAATAGGAACTTTCACATCAATGAATCCTGTGTAATTTATCCTTATTACGTGACTTTATCAGGATGTGAATTCAAAGTTGTTGAATGCTTCACACATATTGCTCATGTAGGAATACATAAGGTAACCATTCAAGATGCTCAATTTGGTGATTACATTTTGAGTCGTTATTATGCAATGTGGGACAAGCCAAGGTCTGAATCTTCAGTCATTGTATGTTCTTCTCTTCACGCTAATTTAGCAAAAGATCTATGCTGAATAAGAGAATGGTGAACATTATTAGAGTTTCAGTTTCTAACTTGCCCTATTTATCAGGACAAGGAATCTGCTTCGAAGTTCTTAAATGCATCTGAGAAAGCGCAGTTTTATCGGGAACTAGCTACAGCAGCCGAGTCTGGATGGGATTTCAGTACAAGATGGATGAGGAATCTAGTCTACCTTAAAAACCTCTTCTAAAATTTCCTGCTGATTTTGCTGTTTCCAAATTTTCAATTTCTGTTAGCCAATTCCAAAACCATTGTTAGCTGATGGCAACTTTTTGAAATTTTCTGAATCACCAGTAGTGCCCGGCAAATCCAAAAGTTAGAAATTTTCATGCTATCCTTTTTTGCTGACTAGTGTCACAGCTAGTATCTGCTTTAACTCGATGAAAAACCTCATAACTACTTAACTATTTTAGGTTGCAAATTGTACTTCAGCAGGACTTGGAAGATGTTGATGAGGTGGTTCATTCGCAAAGTTAATTTGCTTGTCAAATTCCTTGAATTGATTTCTTTTTTGGTTTAAGAAAGGGGAAAATAATAATAATCCTGAAGCCAAATAAGAGTAAAAATTAATATCCAAGCAGCAGCCATGTGAACTCAATCAAAAGAGACTAATCTTTCTTACTCCTAGGCAATTCAACAATCGAAGTTATTGGTTTCAATTTGTAACGCCCTGCTTTTCTTTCATCTTGAGTCAGTTTTATGCCTCCTCTGAAGGAGTTCTATTGTCTTTTTGCAGGAACTCCTCTGATCTAACAACATTGGCTACAACATCAATCCTACCAGTTGATCTGAATGCATTCATACTCAAGGTGCAATGTGCAACTTTTTTAAAGACTCTTGAAGAGAACCTTTGCACTTAATATGAAAAATTCTTTGTATGTGTTAACCCAGATGGAAGTTGACATCACTTTCTTGGCAAAAGTTATTGGAGAGAACAACATTGCTGACAGTTTCTTGGTAGCTTCTCAAGCTAGAAGAAAGGCAATCAATTCCATTTTTTGGAATGAAAAGATGGGTCAATGGTTGGACTACTGGCTCGGCAATAACACTACATCCAAGGTACTACTTTGTCCAAGCAACTATTAGTTCTGGTCTAGCAGCATGAAACTTTTCTCCAGTTTTCTGGTATCTCGTTTTAAATGCCTGCAGGAAGTTCATTCATGGGAATGCTCAAACCAGAATCTAAACATATTTGCTTCTAATTTCGTTCCTTTGTGGCTTGATGTGTTCAACTCAGTTTGTAATTCATAACTTCCACCCTCAGAATTTTTGTAATAAGATTGCTAGAGCAATGGGCTGTCTAAGCATGGGCTACCTGTCTTTAGATGCAGGACTTGCTGTGGTTTTGGAATTCAGAGTTAAACTTAAATGGAAAAGCCTATAATAAATAAACTTCATTAATTTATAGTGAGGTCGCTTAAACCATGTCTGGCTTCTCGAAGAACTAATGGCTGAATTTTTTGTTTTAGTTTGTAAGTTGGAAATACCAACATGAGCTATTCACGAGTACTAAATTTTCTTTAGTTAAATCAGCATATATTGAATGTATTAAGTCTATCACCTAGATTTCTTTCAGTGCAGTGGTTCAGTAGGCAATAGCATTTGATCCTATCCGAGGGAATGATGTGTGTTTTTATTGAAACAGAGTCCGCCTGTGGCAACAGTCTAAATGTGGAAGAAAACTATGTCCAAACTATCTATCCTGGCGCGTTAAGAAACAAAATCTTTAGACTAAATCTTTTGCTAACTTTTAATAGAGCACTCTGTTTTATTTTATAAATGGAAGTGATGAATGCTTTTGATGTATTTTTGCATTAAGACACTGCTCTGGTGGAGAAAGTCAGCAAAAGCCTTAAAAATTCTGGACTGATTTGTGCTGCTGGAATTGCGACTTCGTTGAAAAATTCAGGAGAACAGTGGTCAGTGATGTTAAATACTAATCCTCATCGGGGTCCTGTACTTTCTCCTTAAAGTTTGTTACTCATTTCTTGTGACTCAATTAATTGAATGCACAAACAGGGACTTTCCAAATGGCTGGGCCCCCCTTCAGCACATGATAGTTGAGGGTATGGCAAGATCCGGATCAGAAGAAGCAAGGTCAATGGCAGAAGATATTGCTATGGGGTGGATCAGAAGTAACTACGTTGTTTACAAGAAAACAGGTGCAATGCATGAAAAATTAGACGTTGAAAAGTGTGGAGAATACGGAGGTGGTGGCGAATATAAACCCCAGGTGTGACTTTATACTTCCAAAAAATAAGGCTTTCTTGAAAGATGGAACTTTTAAGAAAATTTGTTCATAGAAGTTTTTCATATAAAATACTAGTTGGTTGATGATTTCGGCTTCGTTCCCTTGTAGTTTGTAAACCAAAGTTCTTTAAATGCATGTAAGTTAAAAGATATCGGTTTTAAACATTTTCTAAATCTGTAAAAAGATACAAAACAAACATTTTTGTTAATTTTCTATTTATGAAAAATTTTCCAGTTCTATCAGCAAAGTTAATTTTCTTAGAAAAAAGTACAAAATAAAGATAAAGAAAAGAAGAAATAGATAACAAAAGATATTTTCCATATTGTACTACCTAATAGATGCAACCATACGTACATATAAACATTAGCTTGGAGGAAAAAATATTTATTTCTATGTATATATTTCCGCTTGAATTTCATGGCACACACAAAAGAAGCTAGCTATTGGTTTAAACTCCTAATTTACCCATGTTAGAGGTGATGCTGCAATGCAGACTGGTTTTGGGTGGTCAAATGGAGTTGTATTAGCATTCTTGGAGGAATTTGGTTGGCCTCGAGACCGGAAGATAGATTGTGAACAAGGTTACTAACATTGGCACAGAATTTGAATACAGAAATGACCAAGTTAGATCAGGATCAGATCATCCCATTGAAGGCAAGTTGTAATTCATCCTCTATTTTCTTTACCAATTTGTCGATTGCAGTTATCTGATTTGGTTATGCTCTGGCTTCTGATATATGAACTGACCTAGTCATTTTAATAGATCTGATTATATGCAATCATTTCTCAACTGTTGAGTGGATCCTGAACTCAAACAGGTTGTGTTAAATGCTAAAAGACCGCTCTTGCATCTAGTGGAAGTAGGAAATAGCTGGGGGTAACATGGCAACTATTTTCACCCAAAAATGCCTCATCCTCATGCAACTTAATGATATGAGCGAGTACAAATACAGATCTCTTGGAAAGTCTTCTCAGCAATCTTAAAGATCGGCTCAACTTAGTAACGTGGCTATAAATATACCTTGTATTTATGTGTGTGCGCGCGCATATATGCACGCAAGTATTTGGATTAGGATTTGAAATATATCTTGTGTTTCTCTTAGAAGAACTCTCACTTGGATGAATATGAAAAGAATATATTTGGATAATTTTTTCAGGAATTTGGAAGTGATGACTGTTTATATATCGTTTTATTTTTTTTTAATGTATAACATTAAGTGTTTCGAATATAGTTGTGGAGTTTTTCTTAAAAAAAATAAAAAAAATAAAAGATTTTTTCTAAGTAAGGTATGCATTAAATTTGGTGATATCGCATTGGAAGAAGTTTGTACATTTACAATTAAAGTGGATAGATTCAATCACCAAGTACTTTTTTAAGTGGTATACAAAAATATTTTTAATTTTTATTTTCTAAACTTATATTTATGTGTTAATAGAAACACATAGAAAGCACAATGAAATAATTTTCTAGAAAACTCTAAAAATAACATTGAAAAGTTAACTTCCATATTGTTTTGTTAGTAAAATACATATAAACTTACAAAAACTTCTTATATTATTATCAATTATTATTATTTTTTTAAATTATCTAAAATCAAAACTCGGATTAATCTAAGTATTTTTTAGGTAGATCCTATGTCTCATACATATTACATATGAGTATTAATTTGTTGCTACTTTTAGTTATCTATATGTGGTGATTACATATTATTTATTATTTATGGCTGTCATTGGTGTACTTTATTTAATGGTTGTTTCTTTGTATACATAAATATACTATTCTAATTTTAATTATTAAAATTAAAATTAATAATTCATCACTTATAAATTTAACACATTACGTTAATAACTTAAATCATATCTTCAATTTTAAAATCATAAATTTTATATTCTTATATATCTTGGAAGTGGAGTAACTACGAAAACCAAATAATTACGTACTTGTTCTATTACGTTGACTCCCAAATCAACAACATGCATGCAAATACGTTTTACTAGTTTAACATGAGACCTAAAGAAATCTAGCTTGTCTGTGATGTAGGAGGAGTTTCCAATATCACAAATGGTTTTAAATAAAATACTGTCTCTATAATATAAACTGAGTGAGTGAACACAAATAAAAAGAATATTTTGTTATCAAGTAAGGAATACAGAAGACTTTCATATGTTGTAACTATCTGCTGTTATAATCAATTATTTTATTCGTTGTTTTATGCAAATTAAGTTGTGGAGAGAACCATTTTCATTACAATTATTAAGCAAATATTAGGTATCTGATCGTTACGCTAACTATATATATATATATATATATACATGTATACGACTTTGTTCTAGAAACAGTAAGATATTAATTGACCCCATATGTATTTTGATATTACTAACAATGATCAATATATAATACTTTCTCCAAAGTTGGTGGACGAGTTAGTTGTCTAATACTTGGCGTGTGTATGTGTGTATACACATAGATATATAAATATTATATTTCTTTTTCTTACGTATTGATAGATCCTCCAACGATAGAGACATTAATTCTTTATTGTGTGGTGAGGTTAGTATCATCAGCTTTTTTTCTTAGTTGTTAATGATATTGCAAGCCAAATGGATATCAAAAGAGAATATATTAGAGCAAGGTTCCCAAGAATGATACTACCACAGCTGGGCGCTTAACAACTCACTTCCATATATATATCTGTGTGTGTATGTATATGCATGCATATATGTGTGTGTGTGTGTGTGTACATGAGAAATATCGGTTGGTATAGGGATGTATTAAACAATGACTACGTATGTCCTATGTGGAAAGGAGGGTTATTTTGGGAATCTTTTCTGGGTGGATTTTAATTTAATTTTCGATTTACAAATTAATTTTAAGTGTTTGATTTTGTAATTTTAGAATACAGAAGTTGATGAAAACTAGAATTTAAGAATTTAAATCAAATAACGAACTAATGAAAACTTTATTTCTTTCTATAAATTCATGTGGAATCATTTCTTCGAATATTTTATTCCTTGAAAACAATTATGAAAAGAGATAAAAAAAAAACTTTTAATGTTTATCCAAACATGATTTTCTAAAACAAACTGACACTGGAAATCAAAGAAATCTTTTTTAAGAAATTATACTTTCCAAAAGTGAATTCATGAGAAAACTTCTTGTGGAAATATCTTGAGCTTTTAAAATTGACACCTAACATATTACAAGATAAGCAACAAAATGAAAAAAATAAATAAATAAATAAATTACTCTTCCGTGAATTTGAAGAAGGAGCTACACATTCAGCCTTGGGTGTTTAGGATATTATGAATGCAAGAAGTTTATGAAAATCAATTCATTATATTTTACTGTACTCTTTAGTTACAAGTCTAGCTTTGCTGGTAGATTTCATCCAATTTATTTCTATTAACCCATTTCAAAATCTTCAAATTACTCTTAAGATCAATTTGGTCAAATAAAAGTTATTTAAAAGCGGTCAAAGAATAGTCAATATTAATTCAAAAGTATTTAAATCAATTCAATTTAGAATAGCCAATTTTAATTTCAAAATATTCAAGCCAATTAATGTAATATCCGGACCTCAAAAATAAAAAGATATGTAAATAAATAAATTAAATTAGGATTTAAGGTCTAAATGAAAGAAATTTTAATAATTAAGGGGTTTTTATTAATTTTAAGAACCTAAATGAAAACATGTAAAAACAAAAGGAGTAAAAGCATAATTAAATAGAAATAGAAGGGGGCAAAAAGAAATCAGGAGATGGACGGTCCTAATCAAACCGTCTGAGGGATCCAACAGCTGGGATTCTATTCAGTTCAAAAGGCCTAGATTGAACCTTGCAAGATCCAACAGCCAAAGAGATGGGTATTGAGGAAACAATTAGGGTTTCCTTCTTCATTTTAAAAGAGAAATCGAAAATGGGAAAGAGAAGGAGAGGAGTCGTCAATGAGAGAAGGAGAGAGCTGAGTTCAAGTGGGTGAGCCGAGAGGAGTCCAAGCAGAGTGAGAGCCAAGTGGAAGAGAGACGAAGATGAAAGGAATAGGGCGGCCGGAGAAGACGAAAGGACAGAAGAGAAGAGTCAGAACCACAAGGGAAGAGAAGAAGAGAGAGTCGCAGAGGCAGAAGCTGAATGGAAGGGGAAGGAAAGGAAATCGAGCCGAGGAGCACCGCGTGATGGCATAACCCGAAGCGAAATAAGGTAAGTTCGTCCTTTTCATCCTTTTCCTCTCTATTTTCTGAAAATTCCTTTTCTTATTTTACACTAACCGGTATATAGGTGTGAAATTCGTTGTATAAACTTCGAAGCAAGCAAGGAGTGTCGCGGGGAACCAATAAGACCATCCTCGAAGTCGAACCCAAGGCCGAATTGCACCACGCTGACGCATGTAAGCTTTTTCTGTTATTGTTTTGGCTGTAGGGTGACCGGGGCAGGCGGTTGATGTCGGGTTGACCGCGCGAGCTCAACCTAGTCGCTCGCCCACTCGAAAACAGAGGAGTTTCCTTAGGTGTGGGAACCTGATACTCCCAGGTCTTGAAATAGGGACCATTGGGGAGCAGATTGCACACCCTTACGGTATGAGTCGGGCATCCCGTCGAGTTGTCATTGGAACCCATGATTTCGGTTGAATTTAGCTTCTGTTTAATATTTAAATTGCATTAATTAATCTGTGTCATGTGTGTGTACAGTGAATTAGGACCTTCGAACATATCTAGGAAGGTCGTTATGCAAAGGAGTTGTAAGTATTTTCGATTCTGAACCTAGATTAGGATTTTGAATTTATGCATGTATATTATTAATTTTTTGTGTGTTTTAAAAATAGAATAGATACTAACTTGATTTCTTGATGAAGAACAAAACACGGACCTATGACAAGTAAACCCTAATCTGCTTAGAATTTATGAGGAGATGGAAACTAGAAAAATAAAGGATTGATGAATGCTTAAACTAGTGATAAGAAATAAAATTTAAATTAAAAAAAACCACCAATAAAGA